AAAAGATTACTAGAATATATATAGAATTTCTCTTCCTTCAAATCTGCGAAATGCAAAAATAAAATATAAAATAATTCTTGGCTGAACCAAAATATTGAAGTTAGAGTGATAGAAATAATAGAATCTTAATAACATCTATTATTTATTGGTTATCTATTGGAATATTTAAGAAATGAAAAAAAATTTTTGTTTGCAAATACATATGAAATACGTATGAAAAAATTGTTAAAAATGTTCCATTTTATAACAATCCAAAAATCATTATTCTACAATCTATCATAATGATATCTATCACATGAATGAGAAATTCTCTTCATGGATAAAAATATTGTTCAATTCAATCTCAAATTCAATACACATTAAAAACATTAGCACAAATTTCCTTTTATATTTCTTCTTTCAATACCATTAAAATACAATAAGCTTATTTAATTATTTATTTTAATATAATATCATTATTATATTTATTACTGATCGTCGATCGAAAAATTTAATAAATTATGCATAAGATTTGTATTTTTTAAGTATTCCTGAAATTAAGATTTTATATTTTGACTTTTTGTATGATGAGCACACTTTCTCCATCGAATTTCCTTTCGATCGATTATTGGAGCCGTTCAAAAGCAAATTCAAACTCTTTTTCTCCACGCTGATACGCAATAGTGATACGGTACGCACAAAAGAAACAAATGAATATCCACCTTTAAGAGTGCAGAGAACAGTCTACGAAAGCAACGTTCTTATCCTTATCGTTGACATATTGCGTAAAAGCTGCTCTGGTGCTCTTATTTATAGACCGATTGTACTCCACTCGCATTCAATCTCACTCCCTTGAAATTCTGCGTCGAAACATTTTTTTTCTGTTGTGTCATGATTGATGAAATACATATACATACATAAAGATATTAATACATAAGATATTCGTTGGACATCGTTTGGAGGGCCGATTTTAGAAGCCAAAACAAACATAAAAGTTGATATAGAGAATAAATAAGTTATAAGCAATTTGATTTAATAAATAAATAAGTTATATAGCAATTGAAGAAGTTAGACGAAGCGAGACGGAAATAGAGTGAGACTCTCCGTTACATCGTTGTTGCACTCTATTTCCACTTTGCTTCATTTAACGCGAATTTAAGTTGTTTATAACTCAATAAATAAGCCTCAACCTACATTCTCGTATACAAACTTTTGTGTTTGTTTTGGCTTCTATAATCGACCCTCTGAAGGTGTTTCTATCTCTGTATATACATACAGGGTGTTAATATATTCTCGAGACACCTTTAGAGGATCAATTTTAGAGGCCAAAATAAATACAAAAATGTTGGTATATAAAAATATGTTGATTGAGGCTTGTTTATTATTATATATAATATTATTTATTATATTGCAATTGAAGTTCAATTTCATTGTCGTTTTTATCTTCGTCTCACTTCATAAATTACAATTTAATAATAATAAGTGTTAAACCGATTATTTTTATACAAATGTGTTTTGGTTTCCAGAATCGACTATTTAAATGTGCTATGAATATTAACACCCTGTATATTCATTCGTCTCTTTTCGTTTTCGAACGAATTTCGAACGAATGCTCGTTATTATTAACGCGTTCTTGCTTTATCGAGACAATACGCTGACGACTTATCCTTTATGTAGTATGCGAACTACTTTTGAATTTGTGATTATCGGTGATTATTCCTATCGAAAAGATAGGATATTACGTCATGTTCAATTTCTTATTTGAACAAGTGTCACGAGAAATTGTACATAGAGTGTCTCATGATGGATATCACAAAATGAAATATATGCAAAAATGAAAAAATAACGAATAAAATTAATTTCTGTTGTTAAAAATTTCTTTTCTGAAGATATGAGAAATTGGCAGAAATTTATTTTATGTAAAAAAAAAAAAAAAATTAAAAATATAGAAAGAATAAGAAATTAATTAGTTTTAAAGAAAATTAAATTTGAAAATTCAACGAGAAGACAATCTGATTATTTTTTGGATATCAAGATGATATATTAAGATGGAATAAAAAAATCAAAATTGATTTTATTTTTTAATATTAAAAAAACAATTTGTCTTCAATTCCTCAGATTTGATATTATTTCTATAAATATTATTTTGCGAAATATTATTTCTATAAAATTAAATGAAGTTTTTAATTTTTTAATTTTTTAAAACTTATTTTTAAGTATATTTTTGATACTGTAATTCTTATTTTTATATTATTAATTACAATATTTTTTCTTATTATATTATGAATTAATATTAATATTTCAAATTGAATATATAAAATAATAATTACATTATAAATAACCAAATTCTTGCAAAATATAATTATAATTTTCTTTAATCTATTCCAAACTTAATTTAAATTTCTTCTTTTAAAATTATTAAAAAGAAAACATTATTTTTTAAATACAAAAAGAAAACTATGATAAATTTTATTATTGAACAAAAATTTGAACTTAAATTGATGAAAATAATATTGCAATGAGTGATTTATAACATTTTAAAAAATTAATTATTTTTATTGAATATTAGAAATTATTTTTTGTCTGTAAAAAATTATATATAATTGAAGAGAATTTTAGTCCTATGTTTCATTCCATCTTAATGTATATATTCATTTTTTTTAAAAATGATTTAAACAATTCAATTTCATTCTATACTTTTTACTTATTTCCATATGTAGAATAACTTCTTATAAATAATTCATTATTATCCATTTGGAAATTCGCCAAATTCACTTACATTTGAAAAAAAAATTTCAATTTCAATTTATTCAAAAACAACGTCTTAAACAAAAAAAATTTATTTTTTTAAATTAATTTTTGCTCGTAAAATTGGACTCTATCATTTATTCTGGATATCTTGTAAGTTTCGCATAGATTACACGTTTTTATGCTTATTATGAAAACTGATTTTAATCTATTTGCATATTTTCATACATGTATATATATCCACGTGTATTGATCATTGTGGTTGATTTTTCACAGTATTAGGAAAATAGAATGATTAGTTAAAAAAGTGTCGCGTGCCAGTGTCAATTAATGTTGTGATAGGTCTTCTCGAAATACCATGTTACACGCAGCGGTATGTAATTTTAGCGAGAGTCACTGGACGCCGTGCTCGATTTATCCTCAAAGATCGTTGCCAACTTTTACGAATATGCGCCACGATAATCAAGTTATTCGATCGTATAAACGTGAGACGTAACATATCCGATTTTGCCAAATAGGACTGGGATTTTTCACGAAATTGATCAGTTTTGTGGTAAACTAGGATAAACGGCCCATTTAACGAATTAGTTTGAAAGTTTTTAAATAATTTGAAAGTATTATTTAAATTTTTTTTATATTAAAATTTATAATTAATTATTAGTTGTTCATTTTTGTTAACAAATTGATAAAAAATGAAAGAAATATTAATTAAAATATAAAATAAATTTTTTTTCTTATTTATTAAATGCTCGTAATGTAGAAATTTAATTTATAATAAACTTTTGATATTTGTAATATTTTATACCTTAATGCAATGAAATCTTTATTTCATTAACTATTGTCTTTTTTGATAAAGAATGAATTTTCTATAAAGAAAATAAGTAAATTATTTTGTGATTTATTTATAATACTTTTAGCAAATATTTTTGATATTATTGCAATAATTTATATAGATGAATAAAACTTAAAGTTTATTTTAAAAATAAGGTAATTCAATTATTTTATAATAAAATTCTTCTTTTTTAATTATTAAAAATTATTAAAAATTAATTGATTGTGCAATATCTAGGGAATTATAATAAACTAGCCGTTTATTCTAGTAGCTTTTTATATAAATTTTTTTGTAAATTGAATTTTATTGAATTTATGGGAAAGCAATGATTTCAATAACAGCAAATATAAATCAATTTTTATAATGTATTCATATATTTAAATTCATATAAATAATTGAAAACAATAATATTTCTTCCATTTATAAAATGTTATATTATATTATTATAATAATAATTGGTAAAATTAATTTATTATAAATAATAGCATACAACTAAACTAATTTAAAATTGTTTATCTAAACAGAATTAAAAACATAATTTCTTCATCAATCCAATAATTTAATTCATTAATTAAATGCTGATGCTAATTCGTGCGCGTACCTGAGACTCGATAATATCATTAGCTAGCAATGTAATCCGAGCGCCATCCTCATGTAGAAATGAAAAATTAGTCGGTGCTTTATGAATTTCACTGGGTAGTAGCGCTAAAAACAACCGTCACGCAACATTGCGTTTCACGTATTCACTCTAGATTCGTATGGTACCATCTAAAACGACAAGAATACGCGAGAATTGAGTTTAAAGAAGAAATATCATAGTTTGGTGAAATAGATCTGTATTCGTGTATATATTGAAAACATTTTTATTTTTGTAAATAGTTTCGAGTTTCGATTTTCACGATAGTATCTGCTCACATTTTCAGGTATGTAACCAAATTTGCAGAAGATTCCATCGAACGACTGACCGTAAAACGTTATAGCCATTATTTCCACGTATTTGTCTGATCTCGTTTAACTTGGTATACTAATACCACTCTCATTTCCTCGCACTCGTTTAACCTAATTCGTTTAATCAACACACGTACGTCGATTTGTTTTTTCAAATCATTCGCTTCCGTTGATCGATTCACAATACATAATTTCCATTGCGTAAAGCGATCGATGAACGAATTCGATCGAATCATGTCTGATATACTAGGTATATTAGAAATAGATGTTCGAGTTGAAGTTTGCGATGAATCGTGCGGGCAAGTTGTGTAGAAAACTACCTGTTCTCGTGTTCGGTTCTTTAAATTGTCGCGGTCACGAAGAGAAGAGTAGAGAGGGAAGCAGTGGAATAGAGTGGAGGGGATAGGGCTAATGGAGGCGGGCGGAAACAGACGAGATGTTCTGGTGCGTGGTTGGAGTGTAGTTGTGGTCGGGTTGCGTTGCTCGGGTCGTTTCTGTTCTGTCGTTTCTGCCGAGACTGTCTGGTAGAGGGAGAGACGGAACCACAAAGGAACAGAGAGGGCTAGAGTCGCGACTGCGACGAGTGGGAGGCAGTTCACCGAGCCGTCCCGTTACATTATCTGCTGTTAGTCAGTCAGTCGTGCCAGTGATCCGGACGCGGTAAAAACGAGAGAGACGACGACGTGGCCGTTCCGGAAAAGATCGTTTCGAGACAACCGGTCACCGTGAAAATCATCCGCAGAGTGTTTTGTATAATCTCGTTATCGTTCTCGTCGTCTTCCTCGATCGTAATTTCTTTTCTAAACTGTACCGAATTAATAAATATATTCGAAAATAATAAGTAAAATATACTTATCGCCAAACGTTGTTACCAAACGCTGTGAAACGTTTACTGCGTGTGTGCGAAAAGTGCGCGCGAATATTGGCTCGATTAGCCGGCAGCCGATCCAAAGAACGAGCTGAGTCCCCGATCGATTCGATTTCTTATTAGATTCGTAGGATCGGTATTATTTTTACTTGAACCAAAGAGGAAAATAACATAAGAATTTTTAGTGGTAAAAAGTTCGAAGAAGAAATTGTCGATCGTCATCGATATATCAACTCGACGATTCATCGATCACTCGTATCGAATAACAGCGATGAAGTGAACGGATAACGCGGCGGGACGTTCCGCGGTTCCCGACAGTCGTGGCAGTGAAAGTACGTCACCCGGAGCTGTCTCCGCTTATTCGAGATTCTTTCTATCAGAGCGGGTTTCCTCGACATCAAAGAGATCGGGTGACGATCATGCTTCTCGCTTAACATTTCGCATACGTACACCGTATACGAACAGTGACCGTGATAAAAGTGTCCTCTGCTTCCTTCCGTTTCCGTTTCGTCTTCTTTTTTTTTTTTTTTTTGCCACTGATTCATTGACGATTCATCGACATCTCGGTACCGCGGCCGGAAAGCGAATCGACCAGGATCGATACCGATCGAGATATATCATCACCAGTTGGCAACGATGACCGTGGTAATATTCAATGTTCGAATGTATTCATGTTTTCGATAAATTTGTCGCGCAATTTCACATATGTATATATATATTTAGATGAAAGTATGCTCATACACTCGATTAAATGCACATTTTCAATTTATTACAGATTATGGAGGAAACAAACACGTTTGTTACGTGGCCGTCCCGTCTGAAGATTGGAGCAAAGTCGAAGAAAGGTAAGACCGCGCCTGCGCAAATACATTCTTTAAATCACATTCACTGTTTGTTCGTTATTTATTTGGCGGATTGAAATAATAAGAGATTCGAAAAGCTATAACTAAGTTGGAAGCCGTGAACGTGTATTAGTAAAATGCCGATAGAAAGTATGGATTTAGCAAGAGCCAAACATCCGAAAACAACACGCAATGAAAGACACGACGCGACGTGACGTAGGCTTTGGGTTCGACAACACTCTCGACCTTCGAGGGACTGATCCACATCGATTGTTTCTTGGTTCGTCTCTACTTCTTTCTCTCTCTCTTTTTCTCTATTCGGTTTGATCTCGTCTAATGTTTATCGCTTACCGACCGAACTTCGATGCATATACCACACGGCACGCGATTACGTCAGTGGTAAGTTGCGTTGCCTTGGCTTACCAGCTGACGCTGCCTGGTATCGTGTATTTTCTTACGTCTATTTGCGGTTCGATCTTCTATCGTGCCACACGCGTGTTGTACTTTCGGAGTTAAATACAAATCTTCAATTTTATTCCTCTTAGAGACACGAGCTTTCTCTATTTCTTTTACTCTCTAGAATCACAAGAATATATTGACCTCGTTATCGGTTCGACATCGTTCGTGGAAACTCGCGTGATCTCGATTCCTCACGACTTCGAGGAAATAGCATCGTGATTATCGTCTTGTTCCCGAACGTAGCCTCGATAATTAGAGCGCACCCATTAATCGAAAGTGATTACGAAACGATACGTGGTGCTTGCTCTCGCGCAGTAACGTGTATCGGTGAAGTGAAACGCGTATCGGTCGTATCTAAGAAACACGATCGAACGGAAATGTTTTGAACGTTCTGTCGAATATTCCATGGTCCGGTAGCCTTTCTTTACGTTCAGCATGGAAATTTTTCGGTGATTCATTCCTTCCTCGTGATTCGAACAGCTGTTTACCGCCTCTTCTCCGTGGAACCTGCTATGCCCACGAAAGAATCTATTGTATATGACAAACCGCGTAATCGGGTATAAATAGGCCTCGTCTCTCTTACCTCCTACTGATTTTCTTTACCTCCTACAATTGCCGGTCCTGGAGAAGACTTCATCGTATTTTGATAATTCTTCAGTTTAAAGATTTTAAATATTCCTAATTTTGAATATTTGAATCTTTTTTTTTTTTTTTTTTTTTTAAGAAGCTTTATCTTATCAAAAAAATGATGAAGTTTGAAAAAATATACATGTACAAACATATTTTTTAAGAATGATTGGTAGACAACTTGGATCTAATATTTTCATTATCTTTTCTAAGTTTCGAAAAAATATGAAAAATTTTTTTTAAGTATTTATCAAAATTTTTTAATTTAATAATAATAAATAATTAAATAATAATTAAGAAATGTTTAAAACTTTTTTCAATAAGATTAAAAATTAATTTCGGAGAAATTTAACAATGGAATTTTTCCCCAATCTTCAGCGATCGGCGTTGCCATACAGAGGTATTTGATGACCTTGCAAAAAAATAAAAGTCTATAAAAATTTCAATATGTTATTATACTTTTTCATGAACATTATTTTTTTTATCATTTTGTTATAGCGTATAAATAATGGAAAAAATAATCTTAAATTTAGTTAGTATTTAATTTGAATTGGATTAGAATCTTTAATAATGATAGTATAAATTATTTATTAAGTTTTTTTCAAGATTATTATGACTTAATCGTCAATTTTTATTATTTTTTTTTATTATATATATATTATACACCATAACAGAGTTTAAAAAGAATATTTTAAAATTATTTTCTATCTATAATATTTATACTTATTTAATTTAGAATTTTTTAAAAATTAATAAATAATTTCTCTTTTAAAGCTTACAATAAAAATTGGAGTCAAAAAGTTAAAATCGTGAAAAATCATTAAATTGAATCATCGAATTAACTTTTTTTTTCCAAGCTATGCACTTGATTAATTTCATTGTCAATGTCAATTTTGATTTATCACGATTATTGTGCTAACGTTATTTACTAATAAATTACGTGATTTATATAATAAAATTTTTCAATTTTTATTCATCCAAATAAATTCAATCGAATAGCATGCGATACTCGACAATATATAATTATTTCCAAAAAATATTCATACAGATGTAACTTTAATCTTTGTGTTTTATATTTAGAATAAACATATATAAAAAAAATTTTGCAGTAAATATATTAAAGAATAGTATATCACTGTGAGAAAATAAAAAATTGTTAACTTACTATCGAATGATTAAACATTCAAAAAAAAGTAAAAAATTAATTCATATAATTTATAAAAATATTCAAAGTCTTCAACAAACAAATTACAAATAACAAATTCAAAATAAAAAAACTATGATTGAATTTGATATAATTATGATTATAATGTGATAATATATAAATAATATATAAAATTGATAATTATGATTATTAATTGATTATTATGATTAAATAATTTTTAATTTTTAAAACTTAATACTTTTTAAAACTTTAATACATTTAAAACTAAGAATTATTTTTTATTAATGAAGAAAGCTATTTTTTTATCTTTTTATTAAACGATTTTATCATTTTTTTAATTTCATTTTTTTTTTATTATTGCTTTTTGCCATTTTTACATTTCAACTCACGTCTTCATGTAAAAAATTTGTTATTCTAATTTTATAACATAAATTTAACATGCCCGAATATTTTTACAAATTGAAAATGCATTTTTCTTCAATCCGTCTTATAAATTGCATTAGTGTCCGAATATTTTTGGAAACAACTATAAAATTATTCCACTTTCGCGCATGCGTACCAGTCTTGAAAAGGTCGAGTGCGAGGTCAACTGTATCCGTATTCACGTATGTATCGTATGCGTATCTCCTATCACCGAATGTGAAATTATGCAAAGATTTCTTCACCATGAATTTTTCCCTTTGATAAATCTACCGACGTGGTCGGTGGTGATACACTGTAATCGTATAACCACATCATGTTTTCGTTTACCGATCGACAAACAAACGACCAACTGCTCAACCTTGGCAAATCGTATTACGATTAAACGAAACGTTCTTTTTTCCATTACGATAAAACGTTGCGATTAATCATCAATATCGTCGGAAAGCAATCGCTCTAAGTAGTTCCCTAATCACGAAAAGCTGATAGATTCTCTTCGATACAAATCTAAATTCCATTTCAACGAGGCTCTTCTCTAAGCAGGAAAAAATTCCAAAACCGGAAGACGTAAAGATACGAATACACGTTACGAAAACATTGCGCGATGAACGCGTGATGTTTATCGTCGATTGGTCGTCAAGATATCTTTATTAACCGAGAAACGCTCCCTGCCGTTCTTTCTCGAAGCGTAACGTGTCGTAGGTAACGATTTTAAACCACGATCCTTTTCCTTTCCGTTTCGAAACGAACGTTCTCCTTGAACGAACCGGGAATATCGCGGTTCGTCGCGGATCGACATTTAACGCAGAGACAAAAAACGGTGTGGAACGTACGTTTTATCGGTGTGTACGGTTACGTAACACGCGCGAGGAATTACATCGGTTTAAAATGGTCCGTGGCAGCGGCGGTTGCCTGGCGTGTCCCGATAATCGATCGTTTGTTTCTCTCGGAACCAGGCAACTGGCCGATCGCGATCGAACGTGTTATCTTTCCCGCTTATGAGAGAGAGCGCGTGCAACAGAGATCCGCGAAGGTCGTTCGCGCGGTCATTCGCGATCTATTTCTGGGTCACTGTTTCGATTCGGGTTTTCTCCTCTTAGCAACCAGCTTGATTCTTACATCCTCTTTGTATCCTCGCTATTTTTATGTCGTCGAATATCGATCTTCTTGGTAATTTTCGTCTTCGAAATGCAATCCCCTTCTCTTCCATTCAGGATAGAACGATTCTGGAGAAATACACGAGAGAGCAATACACGCGAGTAAACAAAAAAAAAAAAAAAAATGAAATATGCGATAATCAACGACAACGACGAGGCCCAGTTTCTTTTTACTCTTTCTTCCACTGAAAGACGAAACACAATTGCGAAATACAAGTACTCGTATAGTTTACACGCCACACTTGATAAAGTTTCCATTCCGTCTCCGCGTTTTTTCCTTGCATCGCTCTTTATTTATTCGTTCATTTCTCTCAGCTCACTTTTTAAAAAAAGAGAATAATATCGAACGGAGGCAAAACGATTTCGATTCTTGGATCGATCCAAGGTGTCGTGTCTGCGTCATTGTCCTCGGATTCGTTCCATACGCAGGGAAAAAAAAATAGCATATTCGAATAGGCGGCGTACAGAGAATATTAATTAAAAGATGGTCGATGTAATCGGTAGTTTGGTGTCTCTGTTATGGCATTCTGTCGGCGTTCAGCCGGTTCTAGTGACTCGGTGTCGATGTACCAGATGCTCACCGATCGCGTTCCATTAGAACCCGTATTACTCGAAAGGATAGCATATTGTCGCGTTGTTGAGTAATTCGTATCTTTTCACAGATCCGCATATAAAGGTCGCGGGTCGACCCGATGACGTGCGAGCTGCAAAGGAAAAAATAATGGAAATTTTAGATACAAGGGTAAGCAGTAACCTTTTGTCTTCGTTTTTCTTTATTTTAATCATATTTATGTATATAGGGTTCAGATGTGAACTCTATTAAAAGTGATTCTAAAGTATTAAAATACTTTGTACTGAAAAAGTTAGTACTGAGGAAAATTAAGAAACGAATTGATCATTTGTGAATTTATAGAAGAATTTATAGAAGATAAAAATTCGATAATAAATTTTTTAAATATGATTGCAAAAAGGTCAAATAAGAAGAAAATATAAGGAAATTTGCAAATGATTAATTTCTTAATTTTTGTCAGAAAATATATGTAAAAATGTTCGTAATTTTCCAAACATATATAATTTTATTTTACACTAGAAAAGTGAGACGAAGTGATAGAATGAAATAGTTTCATCTAGTTTATTAAAATTGTTTATAATTTATCCGTAAAATAAATTTCAATGCACATTTTTACATATCAATTTTTGTATTTGTTTTAATTTTTAAATTATACCTTAAATTTTCTACTTAATTGATTCAAATATCCTATCTTTAAACTGGATAAATAAAAAGCGGATCGCGATTGTGAAATTGGTGTTATGGGTGATTTGTTGTTTTTTTACCAAATACATTACATCATTCACGAGTAACGAGATTAATGGTGACCTTGTCAATCGAATTTCGACTTTTAGCGGTAAACATAGAATCGATCGGATTCGCATGCCGAACAAACATTTCTCTACTCTTATCACAGATAATTCATCGAATGATAAAAGGTGGAATACGCTTTGAAACCGATGTAATCGATATTGCGATATTTATTTTTTTTGAACAAAGCGCAGCAGGTGTTTCTCTTATTTTTCCTTTAAGGGGAAGACGTATTTAATTTAACATTGAAATATTTTTCAAACATATATAATTTTTTAAATTATTATTATAACAGACTCTTGTAGAGTTTACCAATAATTTTAATAAATAAAGTTGAACATATGTAGGGGGAGATATCTATATGTGCTCTTTTTTCTTTTTTTCCAAACATAAAATAATTTAATAATAATTAAAATAAAATGTGTTTTCTTAACTTTTTAAAATTTCGACAAAATTAAGACATTTTATGTTAAATAATATCGAGGATTTATAAAAAAATCAATAAATAGTTATAGATAAATAATGATAAAGAAAAAAAAGTAATTAAATATTTATTCAAGTAATAGTTTACGTTTTCTTTATGTAATAGGATTTTTTTTATGTAATAGAATAATCTGTATAGGATAAATTTTCTTTTTTAATTTTTTTTCAACAATCAATTTTACATTGAATTATAAATAATTAATATTGTATGCTACATAAAATATTCTATCAAAATTAAAAGAAATATATATTATTTTATATTATATTCATAGATAAAGATTAAATTGTATATATTGTAATTGTATATATGCAAATATTGTTCGTGATAATTGTCTAATTTAATGACTTTTCTTAATTTTAATAAATATATCTCTTAAGAGCTATATATTTTTTAAGAAACTTTATAATGTAATTTTGTAAATTTTTATTTTATTATTAACTCAAGAAATCATTTTTGGAAATTAGAAAAAAATGTTACATTTTCATTTTTACGAAGTAAACAGAATAAATTGTATGTTTAATTAAATTAGACATTTATCGTGATTAATATCTATACAATTTGTTGTTTACAAATATCCAATCAATAATTTGCAAATTATTGCAAACTATTGTTGACGAAATATAGTGAATTACCAAAAAGAATCAATTTAAGAACAATTAATTCCATAAATTGATCTGACTTTTTTATTACAATGGTGACGAATTATTTATTAGTTTAAAAAATTATTGAACTTACAAACCTAATATGGTTGACGAAATAAAAAATAACTATTCTGTCAGCATTCTAATTCAAATAGTTATCCAATTTGAAAAGAAATTCTATTAAATTCTATAGTTATGACATGTCAAGGCCGATTCTAAAATTAACAAAATTATATGTACTATTTAAAAATAGTAATTTAAAAATTTATTACTTAAATATTTTCTATTAGATAGAAACAAAAAAAAATCTAAAAAGTCAAAAAAATAACTTAACTTCAAGACTCATATTCAAGATAATTCTTTATACTAAATTTGAAAATACGAAAAATGATCAAAAATTATGATGTCAATAGTTATAAAAAAATATATTCGAAGAGAAATGCGTTCAAACTTATATTATTATCTGTTCCGTTTAATATCGATTTTTTGAGTCAAACAAGGATACGTCCCCCCTTATTGTCCCCTCTCTAAACACGGAGTCAATCGTATCCGAGGTTATTGCACTATAGTTTCCACGGAACCACGACGGGAAGTCGTGCCACTGAGTTTAATTTTTTCCTTTATCTCGAATCGCGAAACTTTCGCCGGCTTCTACCTCAACAAGAACTTCTATCTTTGGCACTTGCGAGTCCTTCTCATTCTATTACGATCGTACGTCTGGCGGCGTTTTCCTTTTTTTTTTTTTTTTTAATCGTCGGTCGCGTGAATACGTACATACATACTCGTGTATGGATATACCACAAGCGGGGAGAAGGGTGATTGCGGAGAGAAAGGGATGCAACCACGGACACATAGAATAAGGCATTCTATTTATACAAACGAACCCGAGGGCCGCGAATTCCACGTCGGGAAAGCGAGTCGTCGTGCGAACCAGTCTCGCTCGCGTTAACCGACCGGCCGAATCGGCCGCCTTGTATTTCCTTCCCGCGTACCGTTATCTCCAACGTAACGCAGTCCTTGTTCACCGACCGTGCAAATTGCTCCTCTCTCCTCGCAACTCGCCGTATCCCCACTTATTCTCTATCCCCTCCATGCTCCCTACCTCGTCCTACACCACATCTCGCCACATCTCGCCACATTTCGCCACATTTCACCGCGTGATACATCGCACCGTATCGACTTTGCCCGATTTCGAATGACAATTTCGATCAACGAAATGAAAAGTAAAAAAAAAAATGAAAGTTCTGATGAATCTTCGTGAAAACCGGTCATTCGGAATAAAGCCTCTAAAGAACATGCGTGGGATTAATGATAATATTGTTAAAAATATTGACAATAATAGAGAAGAAAACAATCATATAGAATCCTAATTTATTTTTCGAAAACATTAGTGCATTTATTAATTTAATTTTCGTAAATTATTCTTTTATATTGAAGAATTTTATACACTATTTCATTTCGAATTTTATATATAATTTCACGTTAAAGAGCGAATATTAAAGAATATATGTATTAATAATATTATTAAAAATACGATAGATAATAATATAGAATCTAGTTTATTTTCAATAATTTTTTAGAAATTACTGTATTTAGTTTTGATTTAATCTTCATGAATTTTTCTTGCATATAATTTTTTTATATATAAGATTTTGAAAAATAACGAAAGATTTGGCTTTAAAGGATAGGATATTTTAGGATATTTTATTTTTATTTTGAAAAGTGTACTTTTCTATTTTATATCTATTATTTTATATAGTGTATTTTTTTATTTTACATATATTTTTTATATTTTACATATATATTTTTATATTTTATATATTTTATATTAAATAAAATAAACATACTTAATATATTTAATATTATTATCATTTTTTATTATTCATATATTTAATATAATATATAAAAAAAATAATTTATAATAATTTATAATAAATAATACATAAGAGATAATTATTGTTTAAGAAATATTAAAAATATAATATTCATTTTTATCATAATGATCCTTTCGTTATATTTACTAGATAATATTACATATAAGATAATTATTTAAAAAAATATCAGAAATATAATATTTATTTTTATCTTAATGACCTTCTGAATATTTATAAGAACATGATATACATGAATATAATATCTTTGACATGCCTTTTTCTTCGAAATAACGAAATCATTAAAAAAGTAAGGTATCTAAATAAAATGATAAATAATTCCTCATTATCTTTATATATACGTATAGAATTCCATTATAACATCAAGACAAGTTATACATTTCTTTTACACTTACAAGCAATAGAAAAATTTCATTAAAGTTTTTATTATAATAATGTAAATATATTTTTTACATAAATTGAAACACACGATAAAAATTGTTTACAAATAAATAAATAAAAATAATTCATATCAAAAACATTAAAAAAAAAAAACTTTCAATTTAAAGAAAATAAACATCTAAAACGTCTATAAAAGATTAAAATTCATAGTTTTTATTTTCCTGTCGATTAACTCTTTATATTAGAAATAGATTGTTGTTATGACATTAATTTTACTCGAATTTATCAGCATACGTTATATTATTACTTTCTTTTTTATCCATTATCGATACAAATTCACAATAACAGTTTAAATATACATCAATCTTTTCGAGACAAATAAAATTATCAATCAATACAAATAGTCGATTTATTTATCTTTACTACTCTATCATTACTATACTACCATTTCTCACATGCGAGTTTCTTTAATTAATTAATCGCTCAATTTCAATCATAATTTTTTTATTTATTTTTTTTTTTATAATTTTATTTCTACCGCAATTCGATTTTCGCTAAGGACATTTATTTTAGCTGCAACAAATGTGCTCTTTCCATCGAAGTAACACGTAACGATTCCATAAGTAGCGCCCGTTTCTTCCTACATCCTATATCTTCAAATCGCCGCGATTTTTAACAATCCAGCATTCTCGCAGCATTCTCTCTATCGTCATAAATGTCGCATGGTATCCGAGAATGCGCAGGGAGCGTTCACCTTTCCGCTACTCGCAACCTGAACGAATTCGATCGACGATGACGATGACGACGACGCAACGTACCGAGAATTACTTTGAGCGAGGCTTTTACATAACGTTCGATAGCCGATTGAACGGTCGTGTGCATATTCCAAGTGTCGAGTGCAAAAGTCAACATGCTGCACGGAAAGTCTAACGGTTCCCTAACGTCGTCGTCGAGAATGGTGCGTATTTTTCCATTACTCGCTTCAAACAGAACGCGGTGCCGCTCTTTATCGAAATTTATCTTTTCGCATTTATAATTCGCATTTTGACTCGACCTCGACGAGCTACGTACGTACCGAGTGCTCGAGTTCGAGCGCTCCTTATACTTCCGGTTACTTCGGAACACACAATCGACATTATGATCTTTCGTTATTTCGATTGCAGCAAAGCAACAGGGTAACCATGAAGCTGGACGTTAGCTACACGGACCATTCGCACATCATTGGGAAAGGTGGGCTAACGATTAAACGGGTGATGGAGGAGACTGGATGCCATATCCATTTTCCGGATAGTAATCGGAGCAATCATCAGGAGAAAAGCAATCAGGTGTCCATAGCTGGAGAAATGGAGGGTGTCGAACGTGCCCGTGCTCGTGTCAGGGTAAAGATTTTATTTTTGATGTTTGTGTAGATAGGTATTTATTATTTTTCATTATACTGTTACGTTAAATAATAATCAAATATATATATAATTATTCAACTATAATATAGAATGTATGTTAATTTCTGGTATTTGCAAAATATTAGAAATTTTATTATATATTAATTTATTAATTATAGAATTTAACAATATTATATTGTAGTATTAAATGGAAATAGTTTTTTCGTGCCTTTCTGACAAATTATTATATTTCTTTATCTGAAAAAATTGGGCTAGAGATCGTTCTATATCATAACATTCAACATCACAGAATATATATATATGGATAAACTATTCAAAATTTTTTCAGTTATCAATATTATGTCACAATCAAAAATTCTATTTACAATGTAATTAATTTTATATAAAATTTATGCAAAATAAAACATATATAAATAATATATATAAATATATAATAATTCTAATATATAATATATAATAATTCTATATATATAATATATAAATATATATATATAGAAAAAAATATATATTTTTTTTATGAAAGTAGATCTTAATCTACTATAATTTTATTTATATATTATTAATTCAAAAAGCAACCGGATATAGATTTAGAAAATTAATTCATTTTACAAATAATGCAAATTTTTTAAATCTTTATGTGATTAGTATTATATGTGAGTATAAAAAAAGTTGTGATTGTTTGAATTAAACGTATTTTAATGGATATTACGTATTATTAAATTATAATATATATATAAATTATAATATATGTGTTAAATTATAATATTACTATATATAGATTCAAAATTTCGTTTTCATATCTAGTTCCTCGATTATAGCTAAACAAATAATAAACTAATAATTTTAATAAACTGTAAAGTAAATAATAAAGTAAATAAATAGTTACTTGTATTAAGTAATCAAGAATGTTTTGTCGTTCTTTTTATGATAGAAAAATAAACATATTATAGAATAAAGATCTATTTATAAAATTTAATACTGTTTTACAAATGTTTGTTAAGACTTAGATTAAATCTATGAATTACATGTTTCTGCGCATATCAAAATTATATCGAATTCACGAAGTATATCCAAAAATCATAAATTTTTTGAATAAAAATTTTAATTTTCGTTTTTTGGATTGTTATATATATAATCCAATATATATATATATATATCCAAATCATTATCCTACGTATATATAATACGTATATAATAACGTAAAAAATATAGATTAGAAAATTAGAAAATTAGAAAAATATATTAGATAAAAAAATTGTTTAAAAATATTCATGTAATATAAAAATATATGGAAAAAATGATTTTTTTTTAAAGTTTATGCTGGTTTATTGTATATATGATTTGATTTCATCAATATTTTTTGAGTAACATATATTATATACATTTTTTTCGAATTCTACTTTTTGAATATATTAAATTTTTAATAATTCTGTGAAATATAAATAATTTCTTTTTATTTAGAAAGCAATTATTTTTCTTAATACATTTCAAAAATATTTTTGAATTGAAAACCATTTAACTTTTATTAACTTATATTAGCTAACTTTATCTTAATTTTTTATCTTTATTTTATTAAACCATTTCTAAAATTAAAAATAAAAAGTGTCGAAGAAGAGTTTTTTTGTTTTCCAAATTGTGACTTTTAAAATTTCTATTTATAATTTTTTTCCTTGTTAAACAGATTTAATAATAATTATTTTATTATTTTAAATAAAAATCTGTTTTCTTTGTCATAAAAAAATAAAATTTTCTTATCTATTGTCAATTATCTAATGTCAAAATTTCAATACATATTTGATATATAAATAATTATATTATATTTGTTTTTTTGTTAGATGCAATTTTCATTTTGACATTGTAAAATGGCAATGTCTTGTTATTTAATAATTAATTGATATTAAAAAATAACATTGTCTAATATTGCCTAATTTTGCTCCCCGGTAATTTTTTTTCTTTATCAGTTTTAATTTTATTTCAAAAAGGAAAACGAAACATCAAATATGAGAAACAATAATTATCGGACATGAAAAATATGTTTTCTGTTATTGCAATTGTAAAAACTTGAAAAAAAAAGAAGTTCAAGTTGCGATTATTTGCATATAATTTTACTTTTTATATTCGTTTTATTTTTACTTTAATAGTGAATAAAAAATAATATTAATTTTATATTTTTATAAATAAAACATTCGATAAACTTACGAAAACCAATTATAAAATTTATTTCTTTTTTATTCACTAAAAAAATGTATTTATTATTAAAACTAAAAAATTAGGAATTTTATCTTTTTTTTTAATATTTCTATTTCTGATATTATTTATATGAATAAAAATTAAAAATTTGTTCAGAGAATTTTCTAACTTAAAAGTTTCTTTCTAAATTATTTTTTTATTTTTAAATTTTTAAACTAACCTTTCAGTTTTAGTTAGTAAAATTTTGATTTTTTATTATCATTACACGTATATAGCTAACTATTGTATCTCGATTGTTACTTTTTCAGAATCTTACGCCTTTGATCTTTTCGTTCGAATTGCCAATAATGAGCTCGTCGCAAGCCTTACCGGATTCCACGACACCCTATCTGGTCAAAATCCAAGAGAAGTATAACGTTCAAGTGATGTTCCGTACGAGACCGAAATTACATGCCACCTTGGTTGTGGTGAAGGGTTGTGAATGGGAGGTATCTCAAGTGAAAGAAGCGACCGTGCTTCTGATCCACTACATGTGCCAAAACTTAGCTGTAAGTAACGTTCGGCGACACACATTTCTCTCATTCCCATCTTCGAATCTGACGAAATTATATTCAGTCAAATCTCGAATCTTTTGTCTTTCTCTCTCTCTCTCTTACCTACCGTAGAGTCAAATACAAGTACAAATATCGATGGAGATTTCACCTCAACATCACAGCATCGTGTTGGGGAAACAGAGCAGTAATTTGAAGATGATAATGCAACGTACGGGCACACAGATAATGTTCCCAGACGCTGGTGATCCAAATATCCCCAGCTTAAAGAAAAGCAACGTTACGATCACAGGTGGCATTCACAACGTTTACTTGGCCCGGCAACAGTTAGTGGTAGGTCATGTTTGTTCGCGTGATTCGATTTTCTTATCTCGAATCAGCGAACCTCTTATCTGTTTGCCTTTGTTTTTTTTTCTTCCTATCATCCCTCCCCTTTTTCTTTTCTCTTCTCTTCTCTTCTCTTCTCTTCTCTTCTCTTCTCTTCTCTTCTCTTCTCTTCTCTCCTCTTCTCTCTCTCTCTCTCTTTCTCTCACATGTGCACACGTACACAGCATAGCTATCAGTCCTGTGCGTTAATGACATCGGGCAGATAATTTTCATTCCTGTTTATAGATTCAGTTTTAACGTGGCGTAAAATCGTATGTTGTAAAAAACAAAGGAAATTTTTATTCAGGGATCTCTGCCTCTGGTCCTCATGTTCGATCTTCCCGAGGACTCGATGTCCTCGGTCGATACCGACAATATATCTCAACTGATGCAATCCCTGGATGTGTTCATAAACGTGAGGCACAAACCGAAACAGAATACACTCTCTGTGATTATAAAAGGGATCGAACGTAACGCCAGCAACATCTATGAAGCGAGGAAACAGCTTTTGGGTTTGGACGAGCCCCGAGTTTATGCAGAGATACCGACTACTTATTACATCCCAAACGTTGGAAATATTTTTCAAGGAAACGGTTCCAGCAATGGTTCCAGTGAGTATTAAATGTATTTCCCAACAATCGTTCGAATCGTAAAAAAAAAAAAAAAAAAAAAAAAAAAAAAA